ACAGTAAATCTTTGCTCGTTCTTTTATTCATGTCATCACCTCTACAGACAGTGCTGAGAAAAACAAACCCCACAAAAATCCCTGTGGGCTCCAGCAGTCTGGCAGCCTCTCCTTCCTCCCCTCTGATTTTATCTAGAAGACAGGGGAAGAGGTCCATCTGGTTCCTACAGGGGACACAACCTTCCTCCTTCTCCTCACCGCCAGACTAACAGAAATGGGGAGAAGGAAAGTATCTGTGGTCTTTATACACAAAGATCATTCATCTGTCTTTGAAAGTCCTAGAACCCTTGGAGTATCCTGGAGTGATCTGGGGAGCGCCTGCATTAAGAATCAGGTTAAAGGTCTCACCTATCCTTGCATGCTTTGCATTGGGGTACATGACAGAGGCTGGGAAAGGGTTGTGGGATGGGGGAGATTTACAGTCATTTGCCTTGTGCCTTCTGGTCCCACAGACCTAAGGTCTGGTCTTGAGATGCTGTCAAGCCATAAGCAAGCTAATTTCCTTGGATCTGACTGAGGAACAGACTCAATTCAAAGGTGATCCAAGGGAAGATGCTAAGAGCAATTAGCCCAAAAGACAAGGGAGGTTTGAGTCGCTGTGACAAGGGCAATTCCATGAAGACCACCTTGCTCAGATCACTAAGTTGACAGGGAGAGACCAAAATCTAGGGAGACCAAATCATTAGTTCCAGTCAGCGCATCCCCATGTGGTTAGAAACCCAGATCTAACTCTAGTAGGACTACTGTTTCCTAGTAGCATGGGCAGGTGCTTCCAAAAAGGGAGAGAGTTCAAAAGGCAAGCACAGGGTGATGCTTCCGCCATGCTGGGGCCCTACCCTGTTTGGGAGGGACTTCTCTCTTCCTTTCCCTCTCTTTCTCCCCTACTCTCTCCTTACCCCTCCCCTCATTCCTATGGTCCTCTTGTTTATCCCACTCCAGCACCAAAAACTTACAGGTCTTCCCAGAGTTCTCCAACCGGGGTGAATCCCAAGCCAATGCCTGCTTGTTCCTCCTCTCCCTTTCGCAGACTTGGGGTATGTGGACAAATCCATTCTCAGCCCCCAGGGACGGAAAGCTTTTCCCTCTCCACTGTCCCAGGAGATTCCAGATGATGGATGGATTTAAGATTTGGTAGCCCTGGTCCGTGTAGAAGGAAGCAGAGACCTGAGAGCGGGCCCCAGTCAGCCCTGTTTGCTGCACCTGACAGAGCAGTAGCCCTAGGCTGCAGAGACACTGGAGAAAGTAGATAGGCAGCCATGAAATAATAAGGTCGTAAGCACACGGCAATAGAGGGCAGAGGGGAGCAAAACTAGCAAAGGAATGGAGGGGTCCTGCTTCCTGGCAGCTATGCCCCAGGGTTTTATTTCCACTTCTCTTCCATTGCAGACAAGCCCAGCACTTGCAAAAAGAAGAGGCAGGGAAGGGCCCACAAGTGTCCCTGGAGAAGAACAGAACTCCTCCACTGTTCCCAGTAACCAGTCTGGAAAAGCAAAAACTAAAGAGAGAGATCCTAGAAAGCCCATTAAACATGAAGAAGTAGGTGGAAGAACTCCTCCCTATCTAGGTGGCCAGGACCCACTTTCTTGAGAAGTCTTAGGAGGCTCCAAAGTTCTGCCTACGCAGGAAGCTAATCCCTGGGGAGGAGGGCACAGGTTCCTGACTTACTCAACAATAAGCCCTTGGTGTTCGCTCAGCAATTACATTCTCCCCATTCAGCCCCGTTTCTGGTTGGTCAGTAATAATTTACTGCAAGTAAGTCACAATGCGCCTAAAAGAGAGTTGGCTTCTCTACTTCCAAATTCCCTCTGGAGCTCAGCACAGATGGCCTCCCAGATGGTCCTCATTCCTCCCTCTCTGGACTTGAGTCTCCCTTCCTTGCAGCCACCTCCACCTGCACGCTAGCACAGAGGGCCCAAGGGACCAGAGTTGGCCCAGGCTGCTCACTTCTCTTTCTTCCCCAAGAACTGGCGTAGCAGATGCTGACAAAGGAGGGTAGAAGCTTCCGGATCCATAGATGGGGCCCACAGTCTGGCAAAGGCCACCAGAGTTTCTGTTCATAAGCTGGGTCTCACACAAACTGTCCGTAGTGTGTTCCTCAGTTTACCTGGGCGAGATGGCCATGTTTTAAGGTTTAAGGCAGGCCTTGAACTCAGGGGGTCCAGTGGTCTCTGGCAGGAGGTTTCCATGTGCCTGTGTGTACACACGGGCATGTGTAATTGTTCACGTGTGCAGATGGAGACCAGAGACTGACATCAGATGTTCTCAATCTTGCTTCAGCTTGGTTTTTAAACAAGGGCTCTTCCTGCACCTGGAGTCCGCTAGTTAAGCCAGACTGGCTTATCAACAAGCCCCAGGGAGCCAGTCTCTACTCCTAGGACAGCATGAGCCACCTCACTCAAGGGCAGTGGGGATTGAACCAGGGTCTTCAGGCTTGCATGAGAGGTATTTACCAACATCAGGCAGCTCAGAAATACCTGTAACTCCAGCTCCAAGGGATCCAATGTCCTCTTCTAGTATCTGTAGGCAGGCAGGCAGGCATGCATACACACACACACACACACACACACACGCATACACACACACACGCATACACATCAATCATCATCATCGTCGTCATCCTCGTCATCATAAATCTTTTTAAATTACGTTTATTTACAGGTGCCATCGGGTACATGTGGAGGTTAGCGAATGGATAATTTGGGGGAATCGGTTCTCTCCTTCCACTACATGTCTCCCATGGATCAAGCTCAGGCCATGAAGCTCAGTCTTAAGGGCCCTTTCCCTTTGATCCATCTTGCTGGCCTCCAGGATTCTACAGGCCCTTGTAGGTAGGCAGATGACTAGGCCAGGTGATCTGATAAAGTATCTTCCAGTTTAGTATTTCTGTACAGTATTAAATCATTTCCTTCATCCATGTGCAATATAAGAATGTGGGTTGGTGGTAAAGGGACCCCAAGTTCACACTCTACTTCTCTAGTGCTCAGGAACTAGGTGGCCTTACAGGAGCCACAACATCTTTCTGAGTGAGCCTTCTTGTCTGCAGAATCGGGCGCATAAAATAATATCTCTACCACATGGATGCTGTGAGATCCCACGTCAGTAGGCTTTCTAAACCGCCAAGTACTGCTCACACGTCCCTGGTAACTGGAAGGCCGTGGAGGCTATAATGATAGTGATAAGCATTTCCCTTTAACCAAATGTCTATGGCCATCATAGGAAATATGAAAATGATCATAGCTTGCGGATTTGCTTTTCACTCTTCCTTCCCAGGAGGACCTGCTCTCCCCACCCCCCGCCCGCTGCCTCCTTCGGGGAGGAGCCAAGTAAAAAACACTGGGCTCAGGTTGGAGGCTGGAGGCACTTTGCCACCCACCAGAACTCTCTGTGTACTGCCAATGCAACAGCTGACTCTCAGCAACTTTTTTCTACAGGTAATGAAGCCAAGAGTAAATTGAGGTCTTTGTGTCTCAGTGCACTTCATGTAAAAAACGAAGGCAGACCCTCCGGGAAGAATAATCACTTGGATAAACCCTCGACAAATATGCTGATAAACTCACAAAGTTCTCGTTATTGCTTAATGCTAATTGTATTTCCTCGGGTAAGCGCCATAAAAAATTCATTGAGATTTTTTGGAAACAAGATAGCCATTGCATTTTAATTGCTGGAGACCAGAGAATATAGAAGGGAAGCTTCACAGGGGAAATGCTAACTGGGGATAAACTCGGGAAGAAATCCCCCAAGCTGAAAGGTTCAGTTCCCCCGAAAAAGAGCTAAGGGGAAAACCTGAACCCTGTGGGGAGAACAGCCTTCCCTAGGCGCACTGACCTCAGTGGTGCTCAAAGTCTCCGAGCCCCTAGACAGTTGGTCTTCTTTTACTGCAGATGGTAACATATAGGTTTAACTAACTTAAATAATCTAATAATTGGGACCTGCCAAATTCTGGAGTTGACGAGCTGGGGTCAGTATCTACGTTCTAAGAAACACGTACAGGGAAAACTCCACTTCTGCTCAGAAACACGCATGACTGTGTGTCGGTTAATCTTCACCGTCAAGTATTCTGGATTTGGAATTGCCTGGGAAACACACCTCTATGCATGTCTGTGAGGCAGGGAGTTTCCAGAGAGGCGTGACTGAGTCCTGCCATGACTGTGAGTGGTACTAAGCCACAAGCTGAGGTCCAAGACGAAAACACCGACATCATCTCTCCCTGCTCCCAGCCACTCTAGGACCCTCCTCCGCACAGTGGACCGCATCTTTTGTCTCTGAGCCAAAATAAATTACTTTGGGCCGGGCAGTGGTGTCGCACGCCTTTAATCCCAGCATTCAGGAAGCAGAGGCAGGCGGATCTCTGTGAGTTCGAGGCCAGCCTGGTCTACAAGAGCTAGTTCCAGGACAGGCTCCAAAGCTACAGAGAAACCCTGTCTTGAAAAACCAAAATAAATAAATAAGTAAATAAATTCCTTTGGTCATGTATTTCGTCACAGCAGTGACAAAAGTAGTTAATACGGGGGGGGGGGGGCTTGACCAAGATTATATATAATTTCCATTTAATAACAAAACTCCTTCAACCAGTTCACAGAACTGTCATTTGAAAAATGGCATCCTAGTCCAATTCTGTCTTTCTTGTTTTATAGATTCCTGCCTCATGCAGGGCTACTAGCGTTAGCTCAGAACAGGAATAGTGGGGTAGGGTGGGGATCCTGACTTCTATGTCTTTACTTGAGTTGGTCCAACCTTGGCCTCATCTGCCCAGGAGCCCTTGAGATAGGACATCCTCTAGAGTTGGACTTAGCCCTCCTGAGGCCCCTGGGAGAAAGCAGGGCACCTCCAGCATTCTCCTGATAGATGCAATGGAGTCCAGGGAGAGCAGAGGACCAGTTTTGCAGATGCTTCCAGAAATCTCATCTGTTGTGTCTCCTCATCATTCTCACTCCAGCCCCAGCCTCCTTCCTGCTGCGGAGGCGCTCAGCTCAGGTGAGAAAGAGGAAGGAGAAATCAGAGCCTTAGAAGAGAGGCCAGTGCTGCAGCTGCTGGCCCTCAGTCTGGGACGATCCATGAGAAATCCACAGTTCGGCATCAGAGGTGGCAGCTGCTTCTCCTGTAGCTAGCGGACCTGCCAGGGAGCCAAGAGACATAGGTGTCTGTGTAACAAGGCGGAGAGAAAACAGAGTAAAACACAGCCAGGATGGCTATGACCAGAAAGCCTGGGCTTACCAAGGGTAGGAACTTGCCACAGGTCACCCCCAAAAGACAGATCTAGGTCACAGACTCAGTCTACCCTTCCCTGATAGTGTTTAAACTGCTAGAAACCCAGTGGGTTTTTGTTATATGTCCTTTCTTTCTCCTCCCACTCTGGCCAACATTCCCTAGACCCATGTCCAACCCTCAGAAGGTCCTCAGTGTCCTGGGGTAGGTCCTTCAGAAACTTGGGCTGCTCTCCTTCTCCACACTCACCTGCACGGTGTCATGGATCCAGTCCAGGAACTCTGCTACCTTGGCATAGACACCTGGGTGATTGGGCTCTGCACAGCCACGACCCCAGCTAACCACCCCTACAAGGTGCCACACATCACCACTGGGACACACAAGGGGTCCCCCGCTGTCCCCCTGAGGAATTCAAATGAGCAGACACAAAGAAACAACACTCAGACCCATTTGGTTGAGCAGCACAAGTCCACCACAGGGAATGGACTCTCCTGGTAGAGAGAGAGAGGCTCCTGCCTCCTGATGTCATCTGCTGGTCTCACTTCCCACAAGCCCTTAGTGTGGACTCCCTAAGGAGTCTGGCTTCCCCAACCCATGTGCACTAACCAGGGGACCAAGCTGATGCAAGTCCCCTGCTCCCACCTTCTACCACCAGCAGGTCTCCCGCTCCTCCCTCTACTATGGGCCACACCTGGCATGCGTCTGCCCTTCCGTCCAGGTAGCCAGCACACAGCATGCGGTGTGTGAGTGCTCCGCTGTACACACATGAGCTGTTGCAGAGGTGGGTACTGAGCAGAGGTACCACCGTGTCCTGTAGCGTGTCTGAGCTATGAGCTGTAGGAGACACAGAGCAAAGCTACAGGGTACCACACCTGGCCAAGAAGGCAGAGCATCAAGAGAGAAAAGAGTTAGAGGTCCTGAGGACACAAAGACCCAAAGAAGGAAGCTTGGGCAACGCTATGGACCTGGGCCAGAGGACAAGAGTCTGCCGGATACCCAGCTGGGAATGAGGAGAGAAAGAGAAAGACACAGTACACCAGATGCTGAGCTCATGGAGCTCCTGGCACCAAGAGCAGGGGAGTGAAAGGGCCTGGGCTTAGGAAAAATGTTCAGTGTATGGAGTATTCTCCATAGAAATACTCCAGCAGGAGAGACTGAATACCCTGACGTACCAAGGGAGGAAAAGAGCGCCATTGTCAGATGACCAGGGAAAGGGGAAGTGCCCAGCTTAGAGAATACCTCCCTCCCTATCTTATACTGAGGGCCCTGGGGGCTCACTCACTATGGCTGGGGTCGGTGTGGCCCCAGCCAGACACCCAGCACTGCGACCCTCTTGGAAACTGCTGCTCCTTGGCCGGCAAGCACACAGCGCCCACAGTGTCTGTGGAGAGGCACAAAGTTCAGGTCCTGGCTCAGGCTGGGCTTCTCTCCTGAAGAGCCTGGGTGAAGATCCTCCTCTTCTCCTTCTCAAGAGGCCTGGGACCTGTCCTCTACCACCAAGCTTACTCGACAAATAAATAGGTTGAGCAGTGTCCCCACCTTGGGGGTGAAGGTATGGCACCCCAGAGAAGAGGGCGGCGTATTTGCTACTCTACCCCAACCTAGGGGCCTAGAGGGAGAATGGGAATCCTTCTGGCACTGGAAACCAAACTCTAACAAAACCCATTTGTCCCTTTCTCCAGAGTGCCGCATCCTTCTTGGGACTCTATTTCAGGAAGTGTGTATCATATAATATGAATGGAACCTAATATGTTTCTATGTAGCATACTGACATTCCACAACATAAACATACTTCCCTCTGTCTGCATCAGGAGAAAGACCCCGTGTGGTGCTAATCCACGCCTCTTATAATGCACTCAGTCTCCCATCTAACCAGAAGAAGCAGGCCCAGGCTCTGCAACTTCTACAGAAGGCTCTGGCAACCTAGAATTTTATTACTGGTTTGTTTTCAAATTACAGATCTGTGTGTGTGAATGCATGCATATGTGCACATGGGACTGTGAGTGCATGCATGTGTGCATGTTTCTATGCACTTATGCGGCTTTTGAGAAGGGCATCTGAGCATACATAGCTGGTGAGTCAGCCACAGTCCAGGCATGGCCACCCTTGATGGACAGGTACTGCGGCAGGAGGAACCCTGGTCCTGGAATCAAGACTTCAGCTTGGGACCTATTTGTCCTTCTCTAAACGTCTGTGGTCTCATCTTATTATATTTCCTTCATCACAGTTGTTACAAGGATTGAGGGGAAAAAAGATTTAAATAAATAAGAAATCTCTTTTCTCTAATGTATCACAAAATGGCTGAACCTGGGTCCAGTCTGGAAACAAGAGTGACGCCAGTTATTGGAGGAGAAGGCACAAGTGAGGTTCTGCTTGGGACCTCAAAGCACCCCTCTCTGCACCCCACTATGAAAAGGGCCTGAATATTTGACCTCGGAGAGCCTTACAAGTGTTATTGTGATTCAGTCTCAGAACATACACACCCTATGATCCCCAGTGAACTGAAGGACATAAGACTGGCAACACTACAGGAAGCCTTAGGGATCAGCTTGCCCCTCCTCCCACCGGGCTCTGTCCCTTGGTCACCACCGCACCCAGCCTGCTCGTTCCAAGGCCAGAGTCTCACCTGAGAAGTTGAGCGGAGTCCGGAGCTGCAGGAGAGCCACGTCATAGTCATGGTTCTGGGCGCTGTACAGAGGGTGGGGAATGATCTTCTCCACCATTGCTCCCTGCTGCTGTCGGACGGCACTGTGGCTGACCAAGCCTGCATGCACCCGCCAGCTGGACAGGCGGGACAGCCTGAAACTGCACACAGAAACCTCCTGAGCCCAGGGAGGAAGAGGCAGGGAAGGTGGTGCGTGGAGGGTACTCGAGGGAAACCATTAGTGTGGCCACTGTCACAAGACTGTGAATCCCCGGGACACAAACACCATGCCTCTTAATATTATCCCTGCCCGCTGGTAAGACACAGGACTGAAAGATAGTCCAGTCAGCAAAGTGCTTTCCCCAGACAAGCATGAGGTTCTGAGTTCAAATCCCCAACCCTCACATAAGCCAGGCATAGCACCATATGTCTATAATCTAACACTAGAGAAGCAGAGGCAGGCAGATCCCTGGAGCTTGCTGGCTTACCCACACACCGACACAGACACGTAATTAAAAATAAACCTTAAAATATAAAAGGTGGAAAGTAACTGAGGGAGTCACTTGACATTGCTCTGTAACCTCCACATGTATATGCACAAGCTCATACATACCCACAAGTATGCATGCACACACACACAAATGCACAGAGAGAGAGAGAGAGAGAGAGAGAGAGAGAGAGAGAGAGAGAGAGAGAGAGAGAGAGATTATTAGCCACCACTCTCTCTTACATAATGTCCATCCAAATTTTATAGCAAATGTGAAAGACCTTTTCTGACACCACGACTTCCCTCCGTCCTCTCTCTCCACTTATGTGAAATCCTGAGGAACACTCATCCCTCCATTAGACTGTAAAGTGGAGATCAGATTGTCTGCCATACCTACCACCAAACCTCACTCATTCACCACCCATTCACCTCCACCTCCACAGAACCTTTATTGTGTGCCTATCATTCAAGGAACTGCTCTAGGCCCTGAAGATGTGGCAACAAAGAAACCTAGAAAGGGACTCAGTGGTAAAACAGACTGATCATCTCTGCCCTAGTACGGCTTCCAATCTAAAGGGAAAAGGACACTGAGCAGAAGCACAGAATTTTGTCAATGCAAAATGGAATGGAAGGAAACTGGGGAGATGGTTCCGTTAGAAAGGTGTTCACTTTGGAAGTATGAGGACTGAGTTCAAATCCCCAGAACCCATTTAAAAGCTGAGTGAGCATGGCAGCCCACTGGAAATCTCAGCACAGAAGCTGGAGACAAATCCCCAGAGCAAGGTGGCTTACCAGACTAGCCAAATATGCTAGCTTTGGGTTCAGTGAGAAACGAGAGATGCTGCCTCAAGGTAGACAGGAGAGAACAGTCAATGAAGATGCCTCACACCATCCAGTGTCAACCTTGGGCCTCCATGCCCACAAATGAGCATGCATGCATGCACTCACACATACATACACACACATATGTACACATGTACACATACAAGGGAACATGCATACACACACGGAGGAGAGGGGATATAAAGAACCAGTCTTTGTATTATTACCGCTCTTCATGCAGAACTGAACTTGGCACTAAACAAGCACCTCACCCTTCCCTCCTTGGAGATCATAGACACAGATATGGTATCCAGGACACAGCAAGAGACAAACTAATAGGTGACCGACTCACCTCTCATCCACTCCCAAGACTTACCTGTACATGCAGTGGGCAGCAGTCACTACCCAGTGGGGTGCCAGCACAGAGGCCCCGCACGTGTGCCGGGAGCCAAGCATCACGCTCGCTTGCCATGGCCAGCGCCCAGAAGCCACCGCCTGACCGCCAACTATTCGAGAAGCCAGAGGTCTTGCCCCACACTCTGCCAACAGAAAAGGGTAGGCTAGACAGAGAAAGGGCTGAGTGCAGAGAGCCTGTGTAGACAACTCTCATTTGTTATTTCAGATTCTAAGTAGGGGGACAGGAATGAGTGTATTGATTACTTCAGCCTTTGCACCTGCTCAGAGCAGAAACCAGGTCTGCGGTGTCTATGGAGTTCTAATGCCTAGCCCACTGGTGTCCAGGTATGAGAAGGAACTGATAAATAGATGGACAGATACATAGGCATGTGGGTGAAGGAACCCTGTAAGCTGTTTATCATTTGGCTCTAGTCCACTACCCACCCTTAGTCTCTTGAAGCTGCTGGTAGAGCTTGCACATCCACAGTCAGTAGTAATTCCACCTATTGGGCCCTTCAGAAGGAAGGGGCAGGGTGGCAGTAGTGACCATTAGCCCAGCACAGGGGCTGGTAGCATACACAACAGAGACTTAAAAGGACTTTATTTGGGCAGGTTGTATCGAAAGGAGTCCAGCAGAAATATAGGCAGGCCGGTAGGCAAGGACCCTCCAACCCAGCTCACAGGTACATACACAGAAACCTGAGCAAGCCCCTCCATACAGCTCTTCCGCACTCGGGAGAACTAGAAGACTCCCCTCCTCCCACTGCCAACTTCCTGGACACAAGATATGACTCACCAGAACATTTGAGAGAAACAATTCGGCCAGAAGGACAGCTAGCGCTGCAAAACAAGGGTGTCCCTAAGAAGCTAGGCAGTGCCACCCAAAGGCCATGCACACCAAGGGTATGGGGAGTGGTCAGGAAATTCTCCATAGCTTCCTTTTGTTTTCTTGAGATAGTGTATCATGTGACCCAGGCTAGACCCAAACTCACTCTGCAGCCAAGGATGACTGTGTACTGATCTTGCCACAGTTTCCCAAGTACTAGGATTACAGGCACGCCCTGCCACGCCCACCTGTCTCCATAGGTCTCAGGCCACGCTGTAGTCCCAACCTTAAGACGCTCCCATTGTCACCATTTTCTTCCCACCCCTCACAAACTCTCAGGCCCCTCCCACGGCAGGAGCCTGCCCATTCTGCCCCAGCCACCAGAGGGAAACAGAAAGCCTTCACAATCCTGGAAGATCTGTTTGGAAAAGGTCCATATTTACAACAGAGAACTGACGGCTGAGAAAGCCCAGCTGTTTCCCAGTCGCTGAGTAAACAGGTGCTCAGTGGGTGAGTGACCACGGCATGAATGAGTGAGTCCAGCCCTACCCCCAGGCTTCTTCCAGGCCCAGTCTCTTCTCAGCCCCAGCTCTTCATCTAGGGCCTGCAGAGTCACGCTCTTGTTCTGGCTTTCCCTCCCTTTTGACCCAACACTCTTGTCTTGCCCTTCTCTCCTCCTTTCAGCTGCCCAATCCATGGTCTACTTGGTTTCTGTTTTCCTAACCCTGTAGCCCTTCTGCCCTCCTGGAGGAATCTCACAGAGGGAAAGGGACAGCTGGGGTTACCCTGTCTCCAGTGCATTCCTAAGAATGGCTCTGGGGTTTGGGAGAATGTGCAGGTGGGTAGGGCCAACACAACTTCAGAGCAGGGATGGCGCCTCTGCCTGCCCCCATCCCCAAGGCTTCAGGCAGTTTGAAGGACACCAGGCTGGGCAAAGACCTCTCAGCTTGTGCTGCCTAGGGTGTGGTAAGAGGCTTGGTCCATTTTGAGTCCCTTTCTTTTGGACACTATTTGATTTTCTCCTCAGATACCAGAATTATCCAAGCAAAGGTCAGCCACACAGGTCCCTTGACTTGGATGGAGTCATGAGCTTGACCTCAAATGTGTGTTGGCTGGTTACTGGTCATACTGCCCTGGATAACACTCTTTAACCTCACTGTGCCTCAACTTTTCCTTACCTGTAAAAGTGAATTATGAAAAAAAAAGTAATTATGATTTGAACACAAAATGACAGCCCCTCCTCCCCACCAAAAAAAAGCTCATGGGCAGAGCATCTGGTCCTCACCCCGTGATACTACTTTTAGAAATTCTGGAAATTTCTAGCTAAAGGAAGTAGGTCACTGGATGTATATCCTTAAGAGTTGTATTTTATCCTAAACCTGGCCACCTCCCCTCCCTTTTCTGTCTACGCGAGGCAAGCAGCCTCCCATACCCATTCCTTCTCCGTGATGCTCTGTCCTAGCACAAGGCCAAGCAGCCATTGGCTAAACCATTCACAGCTGTGAACCAAGGAAGTCTTTCTTCCTTTATGTTGCCTTTCTTGTATGTTTGGTCACAGCAATGTAAAGTTAACACAGGGGGACTAGGAGGACCATTTCAAACCCTGTTCCAGTAACTAACAACCTTTGGGGGGTTTGTTGGTTGGCTGGTTCGGTTTTGAGACAGTTCTCCTGTATCCCAGGCTGACCTCAAACTCTGTAGCTAGTTGTGGCTAACTTTGCTAATCCTCCTGCCTCTGCTCTTGCTTAGAACTCAAGCAACAATACCACATAGTTTATACGGTACTAGGGATTGAACCCAGGGCTTTGTGTGTGTTAGGCAAGCACTCTCCGACAAGCACGCTCGATGCCAGGGTGGGGTGAGACAAGAGCTACATGCCCAGCCCATAGCCCCGCATTTCTTGTGTGAGACAAATACTGTGTGGCAGAGCCTGTGTCCTGGGTTTGTGGTTAAGTCCGGCAAACGGTCTTCTCTGGTCTCCTTACACTGCCCATGCCCCCACCATCGGGCTCCCCTGCAGGAAGACCTGCCTAGACTGCGTACTGCTCACCTTACCCACAGCGCCCTACCTGGGCTGCCATGCCTCCTGGAGGAGACCTCCTGGTCTAGCAGACAGCTGAGCGAACTCCCAGGGTCTGGTGAGTTTGATGTCAGACAGATTCACTGCCTTGTGCTGAGCGAGCCTTGGCAGAGGAGAGAAAACAGGAGGGAGTCAGGAGGTCAGAACCAGACCGTGCATGAGCCGTGCCAGCATTGTGGACAAGTAAGACCATGATGGTGACTTCTACGATCCACACTCCCCACACCGGTTCCCCCCACACACACCCTGCAAGTCTGGCTGTTACCTGAGGTGCCCAAGACTCTGACAAACGTGCATCCCCAGGGCAGGGTTCCAGCCCTCATGGCAGACCAGGAGCCAGTCTGGCCGAGCCCTTACTTGCACTTCAAGCAGGAGATCCTCGCCCATGATTCTGAAAGATACTGAAACCACCGTGTGAAAACCACCTGCAGCCAGGGTGGGATGAGACAAGGAAGCTGAACACTAGGATCACCCCAGGTCAGCTTCCCTGCTCCCCTGGGTGTCCAGTCAGTACAAACACCATGTAACATCTTTCTGCCCATGTTTCTGGTTCCGTGTTTCCATCACGAGTTTTAAAATGTGCTCCAAGGCCGGTGAGATGACTCAGCAGGTGAAGGCACTTGCCAGCCCTGGGCTGAGTTCCCAGGACCCACCTGATAGAAAGAGAACCAATAAATTGTCCTCTGACCCTGACATTCATGAGATGGCTCACATAAAGGAAATAAATAGGGGTATTCTGTCACACTCCATTGCGACAGCCTTACCAGAAAGCAGTTACCACCCTCAACAGAGGTGAAGGCAATTTGCCCAAGATCACAGGATCAACAAGGGATGCATCCAGGACTTAAGTCGAGTCTCCTGAATTCAAATATTGTGATGAAAATAGTTAATATTTATCAACTGCTTTTTATCCATGTTGTTACAGGTGGAATTTTTCACATACACACTCTCTCTCTCTCTTCCCAGGCAGAAATCCCAGGCAGAAACTCCAGTCCCTCAGTGTAACTGTGTTTGGAGACAGAGCCTTGAAGAAGGTAATACAGGGGTTTTGCTCTGCAGCTTGGTTAATACAGCGCTTGCTTAGCATGCACATAGCCCTGGGCTTGATGTCCAGTACATAAACTGGCCATGGTGGAGCTTGCCTGTAATCCCTACACTCTGGAGGTGGAAACAGGAGAAGGCCATGCTCAAGCTCTCTTTGGTTACATACTGAGTTAGAGAATAGCTTGGAGACATTAGATTCTTAACTCAAAAAAAAAATTAAAAAAGATGAAATGAGGTCATGGCATGCTGGTCCAGTAGGTTCAGCATCCTCCCAGAAGATTCCAGCTCCTTCATTCTTTCCTCCCCTGCCCCCAGAAAACAGAAGACATGGTGGTGCATACTGTGGGGAGCCAGGAAGAGAGCCCTCACCAGGAACCAAAGTACTGTACTTCTAGCATCCAGACTGAGAATAAATATGCACCCTTTTCCCATCTGTAGCGTTTCTTATGGCAGGCCAGCTGACTAACACAAAGGCTCAAAGTAGCTTCTTTTGTATATTTGCGCGCTTTAGTACTCCAACTTCATGCAGTAAATACTTTTATTTCATTTCCATTGTGTATAGAAAGAAATGAAATCTCAAAGAAATAATGTACCTCAGGCCATGCATCTAGCAAAAAATAAGAAAACCCAGCCTTGGTCTAACTAAAAGTTAGAACTTTTTCCAACCTCCAGCCTCTGGGCAGCATTATACTGTGTGACCCCCAACTCTTCCCTGGAAGAAGGGACAGTGGGGATAGCCAAGGGACAATGTGGAATGATGTCCCCAGATATCCAGGTGACTCTGTTGTTCACACACAGCCACCCCATACTAGCTCCTCTTCCCCAACACTACTAGCTCACACTACCCTAAATGACAAGCTTCCATCTCTTCTACTGGCCTGACCTCCTCACCACGCCCCAACTAAAGATCAGAGCCCTCCTCAGGGATGCTTCCAAATCCTAAATCGGAGATCAATGCTGCTAGATGGGCCTGGTCAGCACCCTCATCCCAGGAGAAGAGACAGACGGGTGGTAACAAAGTGCTAGTCCTTCATTTCAGTCCTGAAGCTAGGGGAAGGGCCGGTTCCTGTGGCTTTGAAGGGGTGGCCCACCTGTTTTGGGAAGCGATGAGAGAAGCTCTTCCTCCCTGCTGACTCCTGGACAGCTCAGATTCATCTCCTCCTCCTGCAAGGTCCCGGAGATGGGGGGAGAGGCAACCGGCCATAGATACAGTACTTGAGGGAAATGCAAAGAGAGTCACGGAGAGGCTGGGGGTGGGGAGGGAAACCCCTAGAGGGGTTCAAGTTGTCTAGCAAGTCAGTACTGCAGTAGAGGTAGGCCTACCTCCTAGAGAGTCCCTGTCAGTCACATTGCCTATAGACAGACCCCAATCAATCTGTAAGGGGCACAGGACTGTGTCAGACTATCCTGTGCTTCTATTGTCTGTCTGTCTCTATCTCACTAGTAACAATTTCTAGGGAAAAGAAAACTGGCTAAAACCATGGGTTATCCACACAAGTAGCAAGTCTGTCCTGTTCCATGGGTAACCACTTCTCTGTCTAGCTGTCTACACAGCACAGATGAGAGAGGAGCTCGCTCATCTACATACAGTGCCTGTTCAGCATCTGCTCTGTCTCCATGCTGCCCCCGGATCCTGTCCTCCACCCCTCTCCAGACAAAAGGGCCCAGCACTGACCTAGGAGCCATGAGCCGACCCCTGCTCCAGCCAGCAGCCCCAGGGCTCCCAGAACCGCACAGCCACGCTGCAGGCAGCACCAGCGCTGGGACTGGGAGACTATGAAGAAAGCAGAGAGTTGCCTGGGTTTCCTGCTTCTGCCTGCAAGCTTTCCTCCACCGTGAGGCACTAGTAAGTTCTAACAGGAGTTCGCCCCTGCCCCATGGGCTCCAAGTGGTAAAGGATCTGGGCCCTGAAGCCCAGCTCCCACTTGGTCCTGACGTGGGAAGTAGAACAAGTAGGGGATGAAGAAGGACATGTCCGTCATCCTCACATTGACCCTAAAAGAGTATAAGAGACAGAGGAAGAACATCTTTTGCTGACCCCATCCTGTCCCTCCCGAATGGCTCCGTGTGACCTACTGGGTTGCCGCCGGTCTCCCAACTCTTTTCTGAAGATCCCAAGTCCAGGACCCTCTTCTGTGTACCGAACCTCCATTGGGCCTTGGTCATCCAGTGTTGGACTCTGAAGAAAGAATTGTTGGAAATCCAGGGCTGCCAAAAGAAGACCCACTCTCACCAAGTTCCAGCTTCTAATCTTAGTCCTGCCCCTGAGGCTAACTGGAAATCTCTATTCACCTTGGAGAATCCCACCCAGGCCTTTTCTGCTCTCCGTGGGTCCCTAACCCTTTCTGCTTCACTCTCATGTGACTGCAATAGCAAAGGGAAAACTGGAATCCAGACTTGCTGCACTCCAAAGCCATGTTCTTCATTATCTGTGCCCTAGTTCTACCTTCTATGGGGATCAAAAGGGCACCCCCTGAGGTCTGTCAACATCCCACCCTAGGCACCTTCATTCCTTTCTACCTCGGGAAAAGAGGGCACACACACACACACACACACACACACACACACACACACACCATTCGTTCTCCAAAAAGTATTTGGCCCAAGCGTATAATACAGCATAGTAGACGCTACAGGGAATTCAGGATAAATCAGCATGCACTGGAATTCCTCAAAGGATTCTCAGCCTTGTCCCAAAGACAAATCATAGCACATGTCAAATGAACAAAAAGAATTTGACTAAAGCACCCAACAACATTCAAAAATTAAGAGGTGATCTCACCAAGGAAATCAAGGAAGACACCTAGAGGGGGAAGTTTCTAAAGCAGTGACCTCTTGGGTGAGTAGGGTCGGGGCTGATGTGTTTCTATCAAGCATTATGTAGTCCAGGCAAAGGATGCTAGTGAAGCAAAGACAGGGTGGTGAGGAAGCAAAGAGTAGAGCAGCTCCCATGTGTGCCCGAAGCTCCTGACCCATGAAGAGAGGTGAAATAAGATCATTGACAAGCACCGAACGGTCCACCATGAAGTCTACAGCCTACCCTGTGGGCTTGAATAACTCAGACCATCACTCCAAACTTCAATCTTACCATTCATAAAATAAGAGTGCTAATTCCTACTTCCTAATGAGCAAATTCCCCCTCCCCGCATGTCCTCTAGCTGCAACGGATAAAGGGTGGGAGACAGCCCAACCCACAGAAAGGGGTTAGGACACTGGCCTGGCCATTATTCTCCATGTTACCAAGCCAGAGCAGCTATGAGCATGGTGGTCCAGTCTTAAAAGCGCCCAGTGATCTTTGCAGCCTCCACATTGAGATAAAGCTTTCGTTCCATAGCTCCTGGGCTTCTATGATCTTACCCTTCCTCGTCTCTCCATCCTCACTGCCGGCAACAGCTCACTCCAACATACTGTGTCTTCCTCAGCATCTTCAGGCACTCTCCCACTGCAGAGGCTTTGTGTCTGCTGCTCCCACCTGCACAGCTGTCTCCTACTGACCCTTCAGTGTGTTGGTTATTTCTCCAGCGAGCACCCTTAACTAGAAAGAACTTACCATTGACCTATATGGACCTCACTTCTCTCTCACTTCTGTACCGGTCTATGTATCCCAGAGGCGGGCACAAAATAGCAATACTATTATTAAATAAATAAAGTGTAAAGTGCACAAACATAAGGAAGGAAGCTGGGCGGTGGTGGTCCCATTCCTTTAATCCTAGCATTCGGGAGGCAGAGGCAGGTGGATCTCTGAGTTCAAGGCCAGCCTGGTCTACAGAACGAGTTCCAGGACTGTTCATGGGTGTAGACGCGAGTCAAAGAATCCCAGGCTAACTCCAAAAATTCCAATTATATTTTCTTTATTATAAGGGGCAAACTCATGAAACAGGGACGAGAAGTCCAACTCAGCTGTGTAGCGCAGGAACCAGAGAGAGAGAGAGAGAGAGCAAGCCCTGGGCAGACCGACGGTTTTCTCTGAGTACCCAAAAGGTCACGCCCTAACCTGGTCCAAACTCTTAAAGATCATTGACTGACATTAATTGGTCCCCATTACAGGATAGCCAAGGCTGCACAGAGAAAGCCTATCTCAAGAAAACAAAAAAGAACCAAAGGATAAAGAAGAAAGGAAGGAAGGGAACGAGGGAAGGGGAGAGAAAGGAGGGAGGGAGAGAGGAAAATAATGTGGCTCAATGGGCTTTATAAATCATAAAACACAAGCTACTTGTTAGTTATAATAATATCAATAAGAAATACATGTAAGCTGTAAATCCTTCCTTGAGGAATTTGCAATCCAATCCAACATCTTGAAATTGGACTCTAGCTGAGCGTGGTGGTGCATGCTTGTAATCTCAACACTCAGGAAGTGAAACAGGAGGATCACAAGGCTTAAAAAAATAGACAAAGAAGTCTGGGAAGATAGCAAGACAGCTCAGTCAACAAAGGGCTTCTGTGCACTCAGGAGAGTTTACATTCTATCCCCAGAACCCATGGAAACCCAGGGCCTGGTAGCATAAGATTTTAACCCCAAAGATAGGAAGATCTCTGGGGCTTGATGACCAGCTAGCCTAGTCAATGAATAAGTTCCAGGCCAGCAAAAGATCTTGTCTCAGAAAATAGATAGATAGATAGATAGATAGATAGATAGATAGATAGATAGATAGATAGATGATAGATAGATAGATGATAGATAGATAGATAGATAGATAGATAGATAGATAGATAGATAGATAGATAGATGATAGATGGATGATAGATAGATAATAGATAGATAGATAGATAGATAGATAGATAGATAGATAGATAGATAGATAGACAGATAGATAAGAAAAAAAGAATCAAGATGGGTAGCACCTGAGGAATGACAATTGGAGCTGTCCTATGACCTACACATGTGTACTCATGAATGCACACATGAACACAGACACACTCACACACACACACACCAAACTGTAGTGATTCCTTCTTGCACATCACCTTTCCCTCTTGACACATTGGATTGTCCCAAGTGATAGCAGAAGCCTGAACCACTGACTCCAAAACTGTATTATTTGAGGTGTGCTTTTCCTGTGTTTAATGGAACATCTCCCAGATCCTGCCTTTGTGGCCGGCTAAACTTGCTTTCCTCACCCTTCCATCTATAAAAGGAAAGCCTGTCAGCCTCACCCAGTGCAGACCCCCAAACTGTACAAAAGAGGTTTCCCCAGACTACCAGTAAGCCCCATGACAGTTCAGGTAGCACACCGGGCAGACTCCAAACCCTTCCTGCACAGTGAGATACCAGCCCATCTCCCCACACACAGTCACAGTTAAGGTAGGACCGGGCTTCCCGCCAGTGGCGGGCCATACTTATCCTGGAGAAACATAGCTCACAATGTGTTTCCTAACACACATATTCCATCTGTGCCCAGAGATGAAAGCCAAGGACAGCAGGCTTGGGAAAACCAAAACAAAAGTAGGAAAGTGGCCATAGGCATGTGTGTTTCTTCTCTAAGTATGTAGTTCCTCTTGAGTGGATACCCTGTCCAGTCAGAGAGCCAGGGCCCATTATAGAAAGGATTCTGAGGCAGACCCAGCCTTTCCTCTTGTCTCAGTATCCCAGAAGCTAGGCTCCAAGGCCAGCCTCTGAACAAACAACCTTCCTCAGGCACTGACCTACCTCAAAATGCACCTGCCCAAACCCATGCAGTAGCCTGAAAACACAGGCCTTCCATGGGAAGACACCCCTTTGGTGTTCTAAGGAGGAGGCAATTTAATGCTTTGTTCGGCATAGCCAAAAGTAAACAGCGTCACCAGCCCAGAGCGGGGACTGGAAGAGAAGAAAACAGAAGGCGGTCTCTGGAGAAAACTCTAGCTCCTCAGCCCCTGCTAGGATGCAATCCCTTCACCAGAGCTGCCAGAGGACGCTCTTCTACTGGTCTAATCCTGGGAAGGGTAGTGTGAGCAAGGATGGAGGGCTAGCATGGGGCACAGCCTTACCCTGTGTCTCAGTTGCGTTGATGGAAGGCTGTAAGGTCAGCTGGGCAAGGCGCGGCTCCTGTCCTCACGTCAGGATTGATTCAACAACCCAGCCAGCGTGGTTAGAGGATGAAGTCTCTCTGGTTCACACACGGTCCCTTCCCTTGTCTCCCACCCCTACACACATAGACACGCGCCAGGGAGACAATGAACTATGCTCAGGTCTCATGAATAGGTCCCTTGTTGTAGAGAATCGGGGCAAGGGCTGGGCTGGGCCTGGCAGCCCCAGCCCCTCCTATCTGCTAACTGGAAGCTTGGAAACAGAAAAAATGGATTGGAGGGGGGGGACTATTGTTGCTTAGCAATCAAGTCCCTTGTGCCCAAAATATGTGTCTCATACATGCTAGTACAATTCCCCCTTCTTGTGAGAGGGTTGCACTAGAGAGAGTGATATTAGCATCTGTAGAAATGCTTCTGAGTTCTGGTAGAAGCTGGCCTTTCCAGCAGTCTCAGGCTATCACCATGTCAGGGCTGACAGGTGATGATGAGGAATGTCTGTCACCCCTCTCTCAGCCATGGCGCACCTCTTGCCTGATTGCTAAGAAGTGAGACCTCCCCGCCCTCTTCACCCCCTGGGATCCAGGACTGGTCCCTTGGTGCTATCTTGTTTCAAAGTTCAAGGTAATGTAACTGATCCCAGGCTGGGCCTGGACACACCTGGGGGCCATGTTTCTTTGAAGAAGCAGAGGAGTGCCAGGCAAGGAAGGACTGGCATGATTTCCTCTCTTCCAGTCTGCTTCTCAAGTTCCCTGGGATGCACTAGTTCTATAGTTCAGGCTTTAAGAGTCAAACTTTTCTTGAATACGGTTTTCCCACTTGCCCCGGTCAGTCTCCCTGGGAAAGAAGAGTCATAGTGCTCACCTTGCAGGGTTGAGCTATTGAATATAAAGCTCTCTCTAGCATCTAGCTTAGACTAATGGCATTATGGTGGCCAGAAAACCATAGGGAAGAGTTCTTGGGGGAGATGACCTAAGGTTAAGGACACCTACCCTAGAGTACCTTCCTCAACCAATCAAATGAAGACCACAAGCACAGCTCAGAGTGTTAAGCCAGAGTTCAGGGAAAAGACAGTACTCCCTACAGCAAAGGCTGAAGCTGGCAAACCAGGAGCAGAACAAAGAACTGATAGTCCCGAACCTTCGCGAGACTTTTGTTGAAACAGGGTGAAGACTTCATTCTGCCCAGGGTGCTGTGGGCCTCTGTTCCATTGCTTTGAGCCAGCCA